TTGCCTCTCCGTTACACACACTCTCACCTCTCCTTTTCTGTCCTTGCTTTCATTTTCTGCAGAGAAATTTGAAGCCAGTGATTCCATCCTTTTCTCATGTGAATTATTTAATTTTCATCTGCCTATTGTGTTGTCATCCATACTATAGGCAGCCTAAGCAGTGAGATGTGGGGTGCAATCAGCCATAGAGTGACACTTTATGCCACGTATGTAATGACAGGCAGCAAAGTGCCTTTAGGGTGCCAGCTTTCATCAAAGAAAATGTTGATGACATGTAGTTGTTGCAGAGCTGACGAACTGTCAAGGAGCTGTCAGGTTTGCACAATCACTGACACTGCACAGCTATGATCACCTTTATAATGATGAATGCTAACCTTTTGGGAACATGTAGTTGTTTTGTAGGCAAGCAGAAAAATGTGTGAATGTATGGGCATGCATATGTTAATCAGCGCCTTTATAATTAGATACAAGATCTATTTTAAACTCACGTCTGTCAGACTTCTTCAGGTAGGGACTCATACAACCTAGTTGTTCTTCTATTAGTACTTGTGATATTGAAGAAGGAGTCATACTGTAAGGTGTAATCAGTGTGGCTGTCTGAATTTAAAGCACACTGCATCTTCAATTTAAAGCAAAATTTCTGATAGCAAAGTCAGTATCTCCAAAATTGCTGCTCTTCCCTGAGCTGGAAATAAAAGCACTGAAAACTGATTTGAAGATGTATTTAGGTAATATGTTTTGGAGATGGTCCATTGACACTGAATTAGATTTTGACTCTGTGGGCTCATAGATTTTTAGAGATATTGTATTTAAATGAGTTCAAGCTTTGAATGAGAAAAATATGCCCAAACCACCACTATGTTAAAATCTTTTTTGTGCGTGTGTCATTCATGGTCAGCAAGCAGTTCCTAGATTTTGCTGCTGATGTCTGGAAGACATCATTGCACATCTTTGCACTGCTGTTCAGCATACTCTACCAGCGTACATGGTGAAATGTTTCAATGTGTATTTCATTTTTGGATAATAGTAAAGGAGATTTGTACAATAAATATGGTTGCCAGATTAAATTGATTTCACCCATTTTAGGTCTTTTCACAATTTATCCATTGTTATTTTTTATTTCTTTCATTTATCCAATTCGGGAACATGGAGGGGTTGGAGCTTACACCACTGACTACTGCTCTCTGTGGTAAATAATTGGAACTAACCTTCATCCACTGTTTTGGCAATTTCTGAGCCATCTACATGTGTTTTCCTCCAATAACCACTAGAGACATAAATGAGCCCACTGCAAATTTTGCATAAAAAGACAGTTACAGGTTTAAAAATGACAGAGGAGTTTGAGTGCATTCTAACTATGCCATTTCCAGCTGCTAGCAACAAATATTTCTGGCCCAACTTCACCTACTTCCAAGGTGCATGGGGAAGACAAAGATCTGATGACGTCATGACTCCAGCGACACTTCAAGTAATAGGGAACAACTTTATTAAGTGACCAACGCATTTTGGCTTTTGGGCTTCAATGAGGTCATTGCAAAATGTCGAACAGTTTGTGTTCAAATAAAAAACAGAAAGAGAAAAAATTCCAGGTGGACCAATCACACCTTCACAAATAAACGAGCTGACCAACTGACATTTAACAAGGTGTTTTCGCTAATTGGCTAATTGGTTAAGCCACAGCCCAAATAGGTTCTGTACTGAACCACTACAGATTAAAAGGGGAGGGAAAAAAAACCAAAACAAAAAAATCCCTGCATGTCTTAACGTAACATTTCAAGTGTATTTCCATGTTTAAGTTGCTGAGTTGTCAGTATTTTACTGTAACAGAAAAGCAGTGTATTGTGTGTCTCAACCCTCCGTCGCCAACCCCAAACCAAAACCCAGACAGATTCTTACTAGTTACAAATTATTGTATCTTTTCTTTGTTAATATTATCATTATTATTATTATTATTACTATTTTGAGTATTTTGTGTAGGAAGAATGAAGAGCTATCGTGTTGTCATCCAGGCCTTACTGTTCTTACTCTGTGTTGGTGGAAAACCTCAGTGTCATCAAAAGTATAACTCTGAGAGACTATCCTAAGTGGAAATCACTCTTGCTCAAGGCAAAATTTAAAAGAATGTAGAAACTACAGTAAGTCCAAAATTGAACTCAGCACTTCTAGTCTAGGCTTGCAAATTGAGGAGGAAAAGATGAAAGATCCTTGAGGAGAAGCAGATTAAATTAGGCAAAGAGAGAAACACAGTAAGACGCACAGTGAGCACTTATGATCACCAGGTTTTGTAATAAGAGTTCTGCTGACAATGAGTGCTGAATAGATTTCATTTATACATTAAGTACCTGCAGAGAGGATTTAGAAAATAATAAGAAGACTTTATCAAGGATTTTAAGCTAAGCTTTCAGTAGTTCTCCTCCAACTGTTAGGCAAACTTATGAAAAGTTAAGAGGCCAAATCAGTATTTTCACTTTTGTTGCATAGTGTTTCATGGCCAGTTTTATCCATGCAGAATCAGACATATGTGAATAACAGAATTTCTATAATGTATTTTATCTCCTACTGAAACTTTATGAACAGATAGCCAATAAAAAAGTCACAAGCATTTTAAAAGAGGTTTTCACACTCTGAGGGTCCAGTAATCAAGATGTGCCATAATTACTTTGTGATTCATGGAGACATTTCTTTCCTAGTCTATGAAATCGTCAATACTGGAATTTCTTTGGGCTGTCCTTGGACACAGTTTGGCAGTATTGCTTACGTGTACACACTTAACCAGTGTGTACATGTGCACGCACTCATGCACGTGTACACATTAATAATGTGCCTCCTAATGAATTACAAGTAGACCTTGAGGCCATACACCTATGTCCCACTAACGTCTGGCTTCATGCCCAATGACAAGCCTCATAAAACAAAAGACAAGGACAGACACACACACAGACACACACACACACACCATTCTTTTGTCTTAAAATAGTCTTTCCTCATCTGCATAATGATCATACAGAGATACACAACAACCTCACAGCATCTACTGTTTTAGAAACTTCCCATGTATTCTGCATGTGACTGCAAACTGTGTCTTTTACTTTTCCACACAGGAACACTTTTAATCTGTATCAAACTCATTGTCACTGTTGTGTAAAATCAGTCATTTAAAACTACCTGAAACAAACAAAATGTGTAAGAAAGGTAAGATTGACTGGAGCTTGGCGGGAGACAGTAGCATCACAGGAGGTATGTTACTGGTTGCCCAGCAGACAAAACTTTACCATCTCTCGGTGTGAGAGGTCAAGCACTCTCCCTTCATCCTGCAGATTAAACATTAAGAGATGAATAGCCAGCAGTTGTAGGATTTAAGAATGTCACACCCTACAAAATTTTATCATAAGCTGTAGTCAGCAAAATTATACAGCATTTCCCAGGTCTTTTGCAAGAGTGTGGACGTTTCAAGTGCACTTTCACAGAGAAGAGTTGCATTTAAGATGTGCATTATAACTTAAAGCAGTTTTTTATTGGATTTATGTATAAACTGTCAAATAATTCATCATCATCATAACCAAAAATATTATTATTTGTGCTTGTGAAATGTAATGATTGCCTCTGTGCAGTCCACCTCCCCCTTCCCCCCGACAGTTAGTAAAAAGGATAAAATAGGGAAAATAGTTATTAATTGTGGTCTACACGACTATATTTTAAAGTAACTATAACTGTGCATATAACAACATGATTTCTACCATGATGAACTGTGTCATTTTCTTATGCAGTGTCTGTTCTGCGCATTCTCCCCCTGCACCTAAAGGCCTGTCTCAGTGCTGAGCACAGCTCATGTAACCCTCCCCTGCTGCCCGTGTCCTCTGACCCAGAGTCAGCAGGTTAATAACCAGCTGTATCCAAAGCCATTTGTCATTTGCTACCTGCCACCGATAGAAGATGTCAGTAGATGTCTGTGCCCTTGTCACCCAGCCACATGACAAATACTGTATCAAGCTTTGCAATCGGAGGCTCCCTTAGGCTTCTCAGTACTGCTCTACTGAGCAGCCACTCCCACTTGATAGCATTAGATTCTTGTGCCATGATCCATATCAAGATAAACCAGTGATCCCCCTGCTCTTTTTCATCTCCTTTTTCCATTGCTCCATAAAACTCAACTGAGTGTGTCATTTTTTTCTGTTCGTACATTTCCTGCACACTTTTCCTTATAAACTTTTCCAGCTTTCCTTTCATTCTTTCCTTTGTTAGATAGTTCAAGTAAGTACTAGCCTGAAGCTGGTGGTTTATATAATGTAGGATGATTAACGCAGATAAGAAGAAGGGCAGTGACAGCGTTTCTGCGACTGTTCCTGATATATATGTTTAAAATTGAGCTTAATGAACCCATTATCTGCCCATTGAAAGTTTTGGCAGACTTTTGAGTCTGTTGTTTTTGGGTGACAGGAAAATAAAAAGAAAATGGGCAAAAATAGTGTAAACAAATGGACATGAGCATGGATAATCCTTTTCCATCTGTGACTAATTTTATCTGTAATTGAAGCGATGTATTGGTTGTAATGGCTGAAATATTTGTGATGACTTCCACTTAGTCTTTTTGAATTTCTACAAATCTCTAACTAATACCATGGCTTAATAAGTTGTCATAATAAGGATTGCAAAGCAGCTAAGCAGAGAAATGGCTTGACAGCAACTCTCACCAAATCAGCTGCGCAGCTGTAACAGAACCTAAGAAATCTATAATCTTCAGAAGTTAGATTTCTAGTTGGAAGTGACTGTTTGTGCGTGCAGAGACAAGGCCATGCACAAAATATATGCACACATAATCGCGTATGATGTTACCGTTATTTGTTAGTTTCTTCAGATCAACTGAATGGATGTTTTCCTTACAGAGTAACATTAGCAAAACGTGTCCTGTACACACAGACAGTCCATGTGCATTGTCTTATTCATAAAAAACAAAAAATAGGCAAAAAACATTTTTTTCTCTCTCTCTTTGTTCTTTTCAGAGATGTCTGGTACTGGGGAAGAAATTTCTCAGGTACATTGGAAGCAGCAGTGGTTGGAAAATGGGACACTGTACTTCCATGTGTCCATGACTGAGTCTGAGCTTTTAGCTCAGACCACACAACCTACTGCCCGGGAACCAGCCCACGTGCTGCATGAACACATGCATCTGCTACACATCTCAGTTATGGTAAGTTCTAAACACTAAAAGTGAAATATCTGTGGTTGTAGCTTTGAATGCATGTCCAGCATGGCAAGTGTCTGTATGCAGAAATAGAAATATTTTGTGGTCCTCCAAAGTTTTGTCCAGCTTTTGAATTGTTGACTGTTTGTGGTGTGCAGACCTTTATTTTTTTTCTTTTGTTGATATTTATTTGTTTCATTCTTTTAATATTGTGCTTTTATTACTGTGACATAACAAAAGGTCATTTAAATAAAATGTCAATTTTGAAAGCACATGGTGCGCTCTAAGGCCTACACACAGATAGGTGTTCATATTTTAAAAAGGTTTTTACAAAATCTTTCCATTTTGTAGAGGCTGCATTGCATTTTATTCTTTGTCAGACCAAAGTATGAGCAAAAATTTAATCCACAAAACCGGTGTATCTTATACTGCTGTAGCTGATAATACACTAATTTACTAACCAACCTACTACTAGTCATGCAGTGTCTCCTCCTCTTTATTATTGAAGATCATTCAGTTCAGTAAAGAATAATCATCACTGATCAGGGACAGATACAGGGAGTGCAGAATTATTAGGCAAGTTGTATTTTTGAGGAATAATTTTATTATTGAACAACAACCATGTTCTCAATGAACCCAAAAAACTCATTAATATCAAAGCTGAATGTTTTTGGAAGTAGTTTTTAGTTTGTTTTTAGTTTTAGCTATTTTAGGGGGATATCTGTGTGTGCAGGTGACTATTACTGTGCATAATTATTAGGCAACTTAACAAAAAACAAATATATACCCATTTCAATTATTTATTTTTACCAGTGAAACCAATATAACATCTCCACATTCACAAATATACATTTCTGACATTCAAAAACAAAACAAAAACAAATCAGCGACCAATATAGCCACCTTTCTTTGCAAGGACACTCAAAAGCCTGCCATCCATGGATTCTGTCAGTGTTTTGATCTGTTCACCATCAACATTGCGTGCAGCAGCAACCACAGCCTCCCAGACACTGTTCAGAGAGGTGTACTGTTTTCCCTCCTTGTAAATCTCACATTTGATGATGGACCACAGGTTCTCAATGGGGTTCAGATCAGGTGAACAAGGAGGCCATGTCATTAGTTTTTCTTCTTTTATACCCTTTCTTGCCAGCCACGCTGTGGAGTACTTGGACGCGTGTGATGGAGCATTGTCCTGCATGAAAATCATGTTTTTCTTGAAGGATGCAGACTTCTTCCTGTACCACTGCTTGAAGAAGGTGTCTTCCAGAAACTGGCAGTAGGACTGGGAGTTGAGCTTGACTCCATCCTCAACCCGAAAAGGCCCCACAAGCTCATCTTTGATGATACCAGCCCAAACCAGTACTCCACCTCCACCTTGCTGGCGTCTGAGTCGGACTGGAGCTCTCTGCCCTTTACCAATCCAGCCACGGGCCCATCCATCTGGCCCATCAAGACTCACTCTCATTTCATCAGTCCATAAAACCTTAGAAAAACCAGTCTTGAGATATTTCTTGGCCCAGTCTTGACGTTTCAGCTTGTGTGTCTTGTTCAGTGGTGGTCGTCTTTCAGCCTTTCTTACCTTGGCCATGTCTCTGAGTATTGCACACCTTGTGCTTTTGGGCACTCCAGTGATGTTGCAGCTCTGAAATATGGCCAAACTGGTGGCAAGTGGCATCTTGGCAGCTGCACGCTTGACTTTTCTCAGTTCATGGGCAGTTATTTTGCGCCTTGGTTTTTCCACACGCTTCTTGCGACCCTGTTGACTATTTTGAATGAAACGCTTGATTGTTCGATGATCACGCTTCAGAAGCTTTGCAATTTTGAGACTGCTGCATCCCTCTGCAAGATATCTCACTATTTTTGACTTTTCTGAGCCTGTCAAGTCCTTCTTTTGACCCATTTTGCCAAAGGAAAGGACGTTGCCTAATAATTATGCACACCTGATATAGGGTGTTGATGTCATTAGACCACACCCCTTCTCATTACAGAGATGCACATCACCTAATATGCTTAATTGGTAGTAGGCTTTCGAGCCTATACAGCTTGGAGTAAGACAACATGCATGAAGAGGATGATGTGGACAAAATACTCATTTGCCTAATAATTCTGCACTCCCTGTATGCATTTCATTTCTACCAAGCTTTATCTAGATACTTGTAACTAAAGCTTTATACTATATAAATCCATATATATATATATTTTTTTATGTTAGTAGTGTTAGTTTCTACCTACACCAAAATGCACATTACAACCACCTCCACTAATTTTGATTTCTACACCATTCTTTTCTGCTGTACCAAAATATGTTTTTCCTTAAGTTAAGAACAAACTTTTCACCACATTCTGTGCTTTATGCGGGCATTTTAAAAAGTGGGTAAAAAATAAAAAAAATAAGGATAATGCAGTTATTATAATAATAAAAAATGTATTAAAAGTTACAGAAGGCAGTACTTTTGAGTGTTTTTATCACTTCCAGCTTACGGCTTCTTACTGCTTATTTATTTTATTTATTTTTTGTCCACTCTAGACTCTGTTCTCTTCACTTTACTAATTCACATTCTCCACACATTTCCCATTTTTCAGGCTTCAGGTCTCATACTTCGCATCTCTTCTGTATTGGCTTTTTTCTGCTTTGCCTCTCCTTGCACACCCCACCACTCTCCCTCCTTTCTCCCCTCTCTGCTCTGTGCGCCACATTCTCGCTGTGTGCACACCTCTGTGTTACTCTCGTGGCTCTCTTCAGCTTCATCTCCTTCTCACTCTCCCTCAGAACACTTTTAGGGACACTTTAACTGAAAGGGTGTGCAGAACGCTATCAAAACAGCATTACATCCATTGAACGTAAACTGAAAGTGAACATTACATTTTTCATTGCATAACTGACACCGCAAGCAGTTATCTGTGTAATGACCTTCATTTTGATTTTGCCATTTTTTTGTATATATTTTTGTCAAATTAGAAATCATTTCCATCGTGAAACTGTAACTTCTGTGTAGCAGGAAGGCAATGTCGCAAGCTAATCTAACACTGACAACTCAGTCACCATCTATCTACCTTTTTTTGCTGTTGTACGAGGAAAAAAAATCAGAAACTAGATGTCCGTCCATTTTGTTTACCACTTATCAGCGTCCTGGCATGATGTGGGGTTATTTCCCAAGTAACTTTGGATTAGATGTCTTAGCCAAATTGCTAGTGTAAGCTAAAACCACATAATTGTGGTGTTCATAATGGAATGGCAGAGGAGGATTGTTAGGTACTTCCACAGTTTAAAGGCCCATATAAATTAACTCCCAGTGAGAATATAAATTACCAATCCAACTTTACAACCTTCTTCTGTGCACATTTATATTTAGGTATGTAGGTTTTTGCACACTGGCACGTTTTTATGTAATTTTGCCTCTATCGGCCCCCAATGTTAATTTTAATGCAGGCCAGGCCATTTTAAATCAAACATTCAAAATGTGATTAAAGTTCAGACTTTCAGCTTTATTTCCAAGGATTTGACAGGAGTATTTCATTAACTGTTCATGAACTGGAGACATTTTTATACATTGGCCAGGCCCATTTGATATTCATATTGATCTGATATAATTTTAAATATCCGTATTGTTTTTAATACTTGAAAATCCTTTGCAGTTAATGACTAGCTGAAGTAGAGAACCTCTGGGCATCACCAAATACTGTGTTTCCTCCTTTGAGATGCTTTGCTCGGCCTTTACTGACAGCACTTTTAGAGGGCCTTGCAGGGTCTCCTAGCCTTCAGCTGTAATTGAAAAAACATGTCCTACAAGGTTGCATTCAAGTGACTGATTTGGCTGTTAGAGAATATCCCATTTCTCTGCTATGAAAAGTATTTGCAATGATTTGGCATTAGGCTTAATCTCAGCAGAGTATATCGCCTTATACACTTCAGAATCCATCCTCCTACTTCTATCAGCAGTCATCAATAAACACGAATGACCCGTTCCATTAGCAGCTTTATATGAACATGCTGCCACCATACTGAACAGATGATGTGCTATGCTTCAGATGTGTGCATTTTTCTTTTCCATATTTTCTTTTACCACATTTCAATATTGATTTCATCTCCTCCAATTTAATCTTTAAAAAATAAGGGGGTTGCACAAAAATTGGTATAATTGGTATAACAGTTAATAAAATGCTTTTTTTGTTTTGTTTTGTTTTTTTACATCCTTCCCACCCATTTTCGATATATAACTGAATCAGAACAGATGAAGCAATATTGAAATGTATTTTGCTTTCTTTTATATAGCATTTTTCTTTTCTTTGCTAAATGAACTTCTTTATATTATTTACATGATCAAAATAAAAATTAACAAACAAAAAAAGAAAAAGTGAAAATCTGCACTTCAATAACATGTTGATTGTCTGCTGAAAACTCCACTGCGGTGGCATACAGAGTCATTAAAAATGTAATTCATTTTTAAAAAGTCATTGTCCAATGATTTTTTTTAACCTAACTGTTAAGCTGTTTTGTTGTTAAAAAAATTAATATAAAATGTGGTCTATAACTGAGATGGCAATGGCAGTGACAATGATAACTGCCTAATTGATTAAGAACAATCAATGGACTGGCTGAGCATGTTTATATGTCAACAGTTGCTTGGACTTCATTCTATATTTAGCTGGAGGTCATCGCAATCAGTTCTAGTGCTAAGCAGGTAGTGACAGTCTCATTATGTTGGGATCCCAATAATTTAAAAAAGTGAATGGAAGCACAGTAAGGCGGTAAGACTAGGACACAACGGCTGTATCCCAATTCAGGGTCTGCAGCCTTAAAGTACGCAGCCTTAACGGTCCACAAGGGCCGCGTACTCAAAGACCGCTGAGGCCGGAAGTGCGAAGCTTGTGAAATGGGTCAGTCTAGCCTCCGTCGCGCTGCCCAGGTTGCCTAGCAACCATGAAACTAACAGCTGGAAACGTTTCATACAGCATTGTTTGATAGAAATGAAGGAGAAAATCTTTTGTTCATTTGTTTGTTTGTT